CCAAAGTGGTGTGTTGGGCAAAGGAACACTGTTCTTGGAACCAGTGCCCTCAACCACCAGAATCCCTTCATCCATGGTTACTGACACAGGGGCTCAACCCACGGCAAACGGGTTGGTGGACCAAATATATCCCCGGGTCCACAACGAGGGGTCGTGGAGGTCTTAGCGTTACCCAGCACCTACCACGAGGAGGTGGCTCTTCACGGGTGCCTCAATCAATTAGATTGGTCTGTTCACAATGACCTTTGTGGAAGTAACCACTTCCCAACTATCCTGTCAGAAACAAGGTGTGGAACATGATTCAAAGAATAAAAGGCAAAGGGTCAAAATCTGCTGTTCACCATCTTAAAGATGGTGATAATTGAATAACTGACAAATTGGCGAAACTCTTGCCAGAAATTCATCATCGGCAAATTATGTCCCTGAGTTTCAGAGATATCAGAAACAACAGGAAAAGACAAAACTTAATTTCGAATCAAATAACGGTGGACATTATAATGAAGTGTTAACGTCAGATTAATTTTGTATCTGGAAACCAATAACTTAATTACCAAAATAAAATGTGGTTTCAGGCAAAATCTTACCACATATTAAATACGTAACAAGTAATTGCCTGAATGCGCTTGACCTGTTGAAAGTCGTGTCTAATTCAAAGTATGGAGGGGATCAAGCTACTCACCTAAATGTACATCTATATCGATCACTGGTCCGTTCAAAACTTGATTATGGGTCCATCGTAAACCTTAACATTTTTTACTCTGTCCACCACCAAGGTTTTAACACTTTGCCGTGGATCATTTAGAATTATCCCCGTTGACAGTCATAACGTCGAGGTAGAGGAGCCATTTCTTACACAACATCGTTTAAAATTCCCCGTACAATATATTACAAAACAATGTTCTAACAAATCTAACCATGCATGTAAATGTGTCACAATCCATCCTATGGGGATTTATATAACAATAAATCTTCTCTTTTACCGCATCGTTGGCTCAGAATCAAACAATTCCTTTCTCCTGCCGGCATTGAGCTGGAAAACGTATCTCCTTCCCGTCTTCTTTCTTCTCTTTCTTGGCAACTGGTTAGGCTACAAGTCGACCTAACATTAACCTCAGTTAAAAAATAAACTAATGAATTACAATATAACCAAGAATTTAATCAATTAGAAATAATATATAATTAATACATACAAATCCTTATATTTACAGATGGATCCAAGGATGATGGCGCATTTGCATGTGCCACTGTCATTGTATCCAGAACAATATCTTCTACACTACCAGATCACAGCTCAGTTTTCACTGCCAAAATAAATGCTACATTAACAGCCTTAACAGAATAATAAACACCCCAAATATATACAAAATATCATATTTCAGAATCTCTCCATTGCCTTCAAACTCTAAGAAAGCTCTCTGGCAAACATCCACTTTGAATCGATATAATTGAATTATATATTGATCTTACAACTGGCCAATACGACATCGTCTTTTGTGGGTTACCCAGCCACGTTGGAATCTCTGGGAACACAATGGCCGATTTTGCTGCTGAGGCAGCGCACAACAAAGCTGTGAGAACACTTTTCATTCCATTTTCCGATTACAAAGCAGCCATTACGTTCGTACATTAGTGATCTTATGCAGGAGAAGTCGGACACTCAAGTAGGTATTAATAAATCACAGGCTATAAAACCCTATATTGGATACACCTACTTGGGTTGTCAGTTCAGATTTGAAGAGTGCATCATGCATTGGCATACTAGATGAATAGGAATATTTGCTCAAAGGTGAACATCCTCCGTTTCGTATCCCTTGATATGAGAGAATCAGTCAAGCATGTCCTGATTCCATTAATTTTCTCATCAAAAGGGATAAATATTTTAATATCAAATCAATTAAGGATCTTTTTTTGATAATGTTATGTATCATTTAATACATGTAATTGATTTTATAGAAATTATTAGAATAATAATAGGAAATAGAATTATTAGACGAATTTAAAATAATAGGTTAAAGAAAAGGATAAAGGGCATTTTAAACATGGTAGTATATATTAGAGTCTGCGATTGTTGGCTGTATCCTCAAAGAGGGTTAAAGTATCGTAAAGTTATTCTCCTTCTGAGAGCATACGCGAGTCCTATAACTTTCAAAGTTAAAGTTAAACATACCAGATGCAAAGCAACTTTGGAATGTAATCACTCAGTGCGTACGCATAATACCATAGGCATTCTTCGTTGTATAGTCCAAGGACAATGACTAGGACATTATTACCTCATCTTCCATAAATGGAAAACACGATACCCTCAAATGTTCGTCTGTTTCATTTGTTACTTGTCTCGAATACAAAACGTATACGGCAAGGTAGTTATAGGACGACAGTCCCTCAAATATACATGGCAATTGTATTCTTAAATATTAATATAAGTCAAATTCATGTAGTTTTATTGAGCCAGCAGTCAAAGGCTTAAAATGAATCAAGTCATTCTGCTTGTTCTGCCATACGTCAAAGACAGTACATTCTAAGACTTTTGGAATACGTTTCTTTCATTTAAACTTCTGTTAGCTCTTGTAGTGAATTCTGTATCTATATCAATATAATGTCGTAATGGTAGTTGGAAGTAGGCACCCCTCAGTCAATTGCAGCTTTTTAAAAAATCAGTTTTCAGTTCATAGAATTTCATCTGGAAGCTTTACTTTGTTTAAAACGAATTCTGAGAATATATTATTGTAATATGGTGAAGGTATATTTGTGCTCGAAACCAGTCAGCTTGTCATTCTGCTGAAGTTTCTACAGCCATGCTGCTGCAACAGCTGGCCAGCATGTTCCTGTGTTCACAGTTTCCTCCACCTTCTGATGTCCAGCACACTCTGGGGTTTCTCAAGTGTCATGCTCCATCTGACGCCACATGCTCCTGCTTCCTACAGAAAAGTACGTAATTCAGTCTGTAGTTTTTCGGTCTTTTACACTTTAGTTTTTCACACTTTCTCAAGTCTTTCCTCGACACTACCGACACTACCTCGTAAGAAATAGCGAAATGTGACAACAAAGTCATGATCGTGTGTAAACAACTTTTATCTTCGGGTGTCCAAAATTATGAGACAAATCATCAGAGTTGGTCTGTCGATTTCATGTATAAAAATTGGTTTTGTTACAATTGTTATATTTTGTGTAAGTTAGCAATTCATCGGTCTCAAATGAAATCAAAATTGAATCAAACGGACTATGGTTGGGTGGAGTCGTTTGCTGTTTTTAGACTTACACTAGATGAAGCCAGAAGTACATGGAGTTACCACAAGATTTTACAATAAGGACTGAAACTAGAGACCCTAACAGATCAATGAGGATTGATACCAGTGCGCCTAACAGATCAATGAGGATTGATACTAGTGCTCCTCACAGATCAATGAGGATTGATACTTTTGCACCTCACAGGTCAATGAGGATTGATACTTTTGCACCTCACAGGTCAATGAGGATTGATACTTTTGGCCCTCACAGGTCAATGAGGATTGATACTTTTGCACCTCACAGGTCAATGAGGATTGATACTTTTGCACCTCACAAGTCAATGAGGATTGATACTTTTGCACCTCACAGGTCAATGAGGATTGATACTATTGCACCTCACAGGTCAATGAGGATTGATACTTTTGCACCTCACAAGTCAATGAGGATTGATACTTTTGCACCTCACAAGTCAATGAGGATTGATACTTTTGCACCTCACAAGTCAATCAGGATTGATACTAATGCTCCTCACACGTTAATGAGTATTGATACTGGCGCTCCTCGCAGGTCAGTGAGGACTGAAGCTAGGGCTGGTAAGGGGCCAATAGGTCCATATAATAACTGAGGCTAAACAGCTAAATCCCTTTCTCAGAAGGAACATGTTTATAATGTGGAGACCAATGAAGAACCCCTAACAAACGAGTGAGTGAGTGAGTGATTGATTTAAAATTTAAAGTCGGCAATATTTCAGCCATATCGTGACTAAAACAAGTTATAAATATATTAGCAATTAAAGGTAATTTATAAAAGTCTGTCAACGAAGGTCAGTAAAACAACTAACTAGATTATCACAGATATAAACATAAAACTAGTCATTAAATCTGTAATATTTTTACTATACATGACAACACAATGTAAAATCCGGCTTTAGATCGCCAACAACTGAAGGTAGATCACCATACTATGGACCATGGGGACTTACAGTACATTTGCTTCCTGCATGGACCCTAGCTGGATTTACACCATCCCTTCAGCCGGTAGCAATTTGGCAAATCTAGCCATACATTAAAAAAGACACGTATTCTGCGATTACAAAAGTGGAAAGTTTTAATTTACTTACGTTCCCTCTCAGGAGGACAATAATTTTACAGTACTTTAACCCCCTTTGAGGATTCAGCCACTAACAATCTGAATTAGTAATTTAAACCTCCAAAGATAAAATAATTATCTATTTACAAATCATTCAACAAATCTAATCCTTTTAAAATGCAATAACTAAATCAGAACTAAATATTGTCAGAAAGATCCTTCATCGTTCGTGATTTGAAAAAGTCATCGCTTGTGATTGAATATTCAATGCAATCAAGCAGGACATGCTTGACCGTGGTTCTCTCATCTCTGGACTTACAACTCAAGTAGGTGTAGCCAATATAGGGTTTCATTTCATGTAATCTATTAATACTAACTTAGGGTGTTCCACTTCTACTGCATCAGATCACGGATGTAAGTTCTTATGCTCGCTTTGTAATCAGAGTATGGAATAAGAAGTGGTGTCACAGATTTGTTGAGTGCTGCCTTAGCAGCAAGATCAGTCAGTGTATTCCCAGAAATGCCAACGTGGCTGGGTAACCAACAAAAGACGATGTCGCCTTGGCCATACAAGAAATACTCATGAGTACCTATTAAAAGGTGAGGATCCTCCGTTTTGTATCCCTTGTGATGAAAGAATCACGGTCAAGCATGTCCTGCTTGACTGTGTTGAATATTCCATCACAATGGATATCTATTTCAAATCACAAACTATGAAGGATCTTTTTAGTAATATAAGTTCTCATTTAATTATTACTCACTCACTCACTAATAAGTACTGAAGCAAATGAAGACTACGCCATAATGTGATTGTTAATAAATAACTTTTATCTTGGCATTTCATTTAATGATAATGATAGATCTGTAACTGCTATAGATCATGTTTGTGTTTTACGAAAGATCAATAATGTATCTTGCTAATATAATCAGGTCAATATTAGACACATGTATAAACGACGAACAGTTTGAAAGCTTTCAGTTTGTATTCAGTGTGTGATGTCTAATGATAAACTGAAGAACAAGTGTTCACTGAAATATTCGGTTATCACTGGCAACCACTCTATATGAAGGATCTCGAGGCCAAGAACTTTTTAACAAACATCCCAGTGATCGTTGTTGCACAATGTTCATGACTCTCTTGCAATTGTTTCAGTCTTAATAAAACTAAATAGCGCTCTCAACAATTTCCAGAAATGAAGGCGTTCAGTTGTCCTAGGAAGTACTTCGTGGTATCTGAGTTCAGAAACTCTGAAGCTACCAGATCCTATTGCAAACGCATGTCTGAAATTGCAGAGGTATGTTGTGTACAACAAAGATATAACATGGGGTAAAATGGGCTCACAATAATCTATCAGGTACTTTTGTCGGTGTTTTACAGGAATAGTAGAGTGATTCAAGTTGTTTATGGACGTAATTGATACGACAGCCGGCTATGTTATATCTCTGACTTACTATCATCATGTATAATATTCCACCATGGCGTCCAATGAATGTCTCATGATAAGTGGCTATCACTATATTTCAATGTGCAATTTTTAGTCTATTGATATCGAATATGAACCTGTAAAACACTGAACTAAACCAAGAAAAAAGTGCATAACAGGAATAAAGTAGAGCAGGACACGATAATCAAAGTCACATTATTAGTGTAACCTGCTAGAACTTGCTTGAACTTATGGAAGTACGTAGTGCATTTATGTCGGTGTTTTAACACGTGTTGACAGGTGTCCCTTTCTCCTCCAACCAAACGTTTGACGAGTGTAAACATCATTGGAAAAATGTATGAGAGGTGCGTATTCAACAGAAACAACTGCTACTGCTGCTACTACTACTACTACTACTATAGTTACTGCTACTACAACTACTGCTACTGCTGTCAACACTATGCTTCCTACTACTACTACTACTACTACTACTACTGCTGCTGCTACTACTACTACTACTACTGCTACTACTACTACTGACTACTACTATAGTTACTGCTACTACAACTATTGCTGCTGTCAACACTGCTTCTACTACTACTGCTGCTACTACTACTACTACTACTGCTGCTACTACTACTACTATAGTTACTGCTACTACAACTATTGCTGCTGTCAATACTGCTTCTTCTACTACTACTTTCTACTACTACTGCTGCTACTACTACTACTACTACTACTACTACTACTACTACTACTGCTACTGCTACTACTACTACTACTACTACTACTACTACTACTACTACTACTACTACTACTACTACTACTGCTGCTACTACTGCTACTATAGTTACTGCTACTACAACTATTGCTGCTGTCAACACTGCTTCTACTACTACTGCTGCTACTACTACTACTACTACTACTGCTGCCACTACTACTACTATAGTTACTGCTACTACTAACCATTGCTGCTGTCAATCTGCTTCTACTACTACTACTACACTTTTACTTTACTACTACTACTACTACTGCACTGCTGCTACTACTACTACTATACTTGCTGCTACTACTACTACTACTGCTGTCTGCTCTACCACTACTGCTGCCACTACTACTACTACTACTAGTTACTGCTACTACAACCATTGCTGCTGTACAACACTGCTTCTACTACTGCTACTGCTGCTACTACTACTGCTACTATAGTTACTGCTACTACTACAACTATTGCTGCTGTACTACTACTACTAGTCTGCTGCACTGCTTCTACTACTACTACTTCTACTATATTCTGCTACTACTACTGCTACTGCTACTACCACTACTACTACTGCTACTACTACTACTTACTACTGCTACTACTACTGCTACTACTACTACTACTACTACTACTACTACTGCTACTACTACTACTACTACTACTACTACTGCTGCTACTACTGCTACTATAGTTACTGCTACTACAACTATTGCTGCTGTCAACACTGCTTCTACTACTACTGCTGCTACTACTACTACTACTGCTGCTACTACTGCTACTATAGTTACTGCTACTACTACTACTAACCATTGCTGCTGTCAACACTGCTTACTGCTACTGCTACTACTTACCATCTACTACTACTACTGCTGCTGCTACTCACTACTACTACTATACTACTACTACTACTACTGCCACTGCTTTCACTACTCACTATAGTTACCACTTACCATTGCTGCCTGTCAACACTGCTGCTGCTACTCTACTACTACTACTACTTACTACTACTACTACTACTACTCACTGCTGCTACTACTACTACTATAGTTACTGCTACTACTACTATTACTGCTGTCAACACTGCTGCTACACTACTACTTTTACTACACTATACTTACTGCTACTACTACTATAGTTACTGCTACCACTACACTGCTGTCAACACTGCTTCTACTACTACTACTACTACTATTACTGCTGTCAACACGACTACTATTGGCTGACTATTATAGTTAATACTACTGCTGGTGTTAATGCTACTACTATTACTACCACTGTTATTGCCACTATAACTGGTAGTACTATTATTACTACTGCTGCTGAACCGTTTGCTGCCTTCCACGTTTCAGGGCGATGATTTATTTCCGCAAAGACGGCTGCCTTTCATATCCTATGAGCATAACATTCAACTCTAAGAAAATGACTATTTACGATAGAATACCTGCCTCTATGCTGGTTGCAAAGATATTCCCTTTCAAGGTCGGGAGGAAGTTTGAAATGAAACTCTTGTTTCGACACAATGAATACCAGGTAAATGCAAATACAAACTAATTATCTTATATTACAGATCAGAGTGAGTGAGTGAGCATGGTTTTACGCCACTTACAGCAATATTCCAGCAATGTTTCGCCTGGAGAAACCAGAAGTTGGCAATTCACCCGGCCTTCATTATCATGCCCATGTGGGGAATAGTGTCCTGGAATTATATCCGGCTGATCTCAGTCATTCCCGGACTTTTCTGTCAGACAAACCGCGGTTTTTAAACCGCTTTTTGTTCAACATGCCACTTAAAATGTAAAACAATAATGAAGTCCCAGAAATTGTCACTCGTGGTCGACCTGTACTCTGACAGGTGTTAGCATCCGGTTTAGATTGGCTGATAGACGATGCATGACAACCAACATCTCCTGCAAACCAATCACTTGCCACTATCCGTTGAGAGGGCCCCACATTTGCCTATCAACAACGATAATTGAGTTTCCAAGTTATTGAGCTGTATGGACACATTACTGAAAACCGATATTTGCTGTCTGACACACGTAATGTACGTGATGCTCGCTGTTGATCGTTTCACGTAAAATCAATGTATATTCTGCCCAATTAATGACACAAGCCAACATGATTATGATAAGAATAGACATGACCATATACTAAATGGTTTTGTGATACTTTTCGCCTGTGAATACAGCTTTTAGCAATTGTAAAATAATGTTGAATATTTTCTCTAAAGTGTTCTGACCAATGCGTTAAAAGTTCCATCTGTTATCAAACATTATGGAGAAATACATATTATAACATGTGAGAAATACATATTATAACATGTGAGAAATACATATTATAGAAATACACATTATAACATGTAGAGAAATACATATCATACTACATGAGAAATACATATCATAACATATAGAAATACATATTATAACATGTGAGAGAAATGCATACATGTTATAACATGGGAGAAATACATATTATAACATGTGAGAAATACATATTATAACATGGGAGAAAAACATATCATAACATGAGAAATACATATGAGAAAATACATATTATAACATGGGAGAAATACATATATAACATGGATATCATAACATGGAGAAATACATTATAACATGGGATAATATTGGGATACATATCATGAGAAATACATATTATAACATGTGAGAAATACATATCATAACATGGGAGAAATATTATAACATGGGAGAAATACATATTATAACATGTGAGAAATACATATTATAACATTTGGAGAAATACATATTATAACATGGGAGAAATACATATCATAACAACATGAGAAATACATATTATGGGGAAATACATATTATAACATGTGAGAAATACATATTATAACATGTGAGAAATACATATTATAACATGTGAGAAATACATATTATAACATGTGAGAAATACATATTATAACATGTGAGAAATACATATCATAACATGGGAGAAATACATATTATAACATGGGAGAAATACATATTATAACATGCTTGATCATATTTTCCCAGGTAAATGTTGACGGGATGAAGATCTTTTCAGGAACTGCTTTACCGGGATGTAGCATTGAACAAATGGAACGCCTACATTTGATAAACGTTGGTGAGATACAGGCGGTTCACTTCAATTACAATGGGTAGTGTATTTGTTTTTGCCTCTGATAGTTTTATATAAAATAATTGTCGTCTAGGTACACCACCAATGTGAAGATTCCCATTTTAAAATAACTGAATTTGGATCCCTGCACCGATACGTTCACCCACATTAACACAGCAAACGAGTGCTGGGACCACTAGGCTCAATCTTTCTTTGTGAAAATGTGAAATCTGAGTTGAAACATTGAAACAGAGTATATTTCCTTTCACTCCCTGTGCTGTTACGATCAATTTTGATTGACCATCCTGTATACATATCCAGGGTCATGAAACGTACTACAGTCAAATCCCGATGAGTCGAATCGCTGGGGACCAAGTAATAAATTCGACTTATCGATGTATT